CGTGAATAATCTAGAAAGGCATAACAAGAGAGCTCTTTCCAACTATTTGAAGTTGTTAGGCATGGACTAAAATCACCAGTGAAATAAGAAACTTAAAGAAAAATATCTGCGGAACCAGAGAAATACAGCAAGCTGGTGAAAAAAACAGTGCATCAGATTTTTGTTACATAAACAAGCAGTTTAACAATTAGAAGTGCCAGGCAACAGGCTAGGCAGACTGGGTAGGGAGGTGGAAGATACACAGAGAATAACTCAGCACCTTTATTGTACCAGCTATTGCACACGGGACCTGTGAGTTAGAACTGGCGTCTCCATGTCGGCAGTGAGGATTCTGGGCACGGACCACACTATGACTTGGTCACGGGACACAAGGGATCACGTGTTGAAGCTCGGTCTCCAGATGTGCGCTACTTACTGGTAGGCAGTAGAGGGATCCTAATGGGAGACCCTGGGGTCCCTGAAGGTGAGTAAGGGGGAGAGTGGAGCCCCAGGCTCTTCTTCCACTGTTCGTTCTGTGTGCCATGGTTGTGGGGCAGGGCACTGTTCTGCCATCCACTCCTTGCTATAATATGCCACCTCACCACAAAACCACAAGGCCACTTGAGCGTGGACCAAAACACCCAAAACCATGAGCCAAAAAAAATCAACCTTTTCTAAGCTGAGCTGCTCAGATGTTTGTTGCAGTACAAAAACACCAAGCAGCACAGAGAGCTCTGTAACTCATCCAGAAGCTCGTAACTGGTAGGTGGGACAGCTGAAATCCAAACCTAGGAAAGGTTACCCCTCATCCACTTCAGCTCAGGAAGTACTATTTTTTAATGCCTCCTTTTGGTCAGGAACTTTGCCTGGCACACAGAATATCAAGATGAAGAAGAGACAGAATTGAGTCCCTTCCTGGATAGGCACTCACTTTATCTTTTTCATATGCTCCAAGTGTCTGAACAACAGCTCAGGACTAAATAAGTCTCTAACAACAAAGCACCGAGGCCCTTCGCACCCTGAGATGTTATGAGTGTGGATTCTTTATGGTAGAAGAGACACAGCCTTAACATAGCAATAAAGTGGATTTCTGGAAACTGAGTCACTCGGGTATAGTATGATATTTGACTGCACATTCCAGAAACAGAAAATCTAGACTTTCACACATGATAAAAAATTATATTAAGCAGCTTTTAAAATATAAAATCATCACATCTTAGCCCATTTTGCCTAGGGGCTCATAGCTAGAAGTCTACCATCTCAGAGAAGGCTCTAGACTCAGGATTTTCCACAATCAGAAAGAGCTAATGTTCTACTGACTCTTAGTCATGGAGTAAATGGATTCTGCATAAGGAGTAGATTTGAGAGTTTTGGAGGCCAAGGGAGGAAGATGTGGCTTAGACTCAGAAGGCACCCCCAAATCCTCCTGTGTTCAGAGGTGGGGTTTTGGGAAGGTGACTGGTCTTGGGGGCACAACTAGAATCACACCCCTCCCTCTCTCCCTCCCTCCCGGCCTCCCTCCTTCCCAGGATCAGCTTCCGCTGTGCAGGCCCCTCCACCTGCCATTTCTACATCTGAGGCTGCCCACCACGGACTGAAAGTTCTGCCACCGCAAGCCAAAATAAACCTCTCCTCCTTTAAACAGGGGGAAGCAAATATTTGGTCCCCGCGATGAGCAAGTACTTAAGACAGGCTTCTTGAATTATTTTCTTTCCTCTTACAGGCTCATTTCATTTCTGAGCTGCCCCCCTTGTGTGGGGGAGGGATGGTGGGGTTAAGACAAAGTCTCACTTTGTAGTTCATGCTGGCCTTGAGCTTATTATGTGGCCCAGGCTAGTCTCAAACTCACAGAGGTTGTCTTATTTCCACCCCCACAGCTGGCATTCCAGGTGTGCACTCCACACCTGGCTTTGCCACTCCTCATTCATTTTTGTTGTTGTTGTTTTGTTTTGTTTCCTGTATTTAGGACAGGGTCTACAGGGTCTCACTATGTAGACTGGATTCGTAGTGATTCTCCTGTTTTCAGCCTCCCAAGCGCTGGGATTACAGGCACGTGCCACCATGCCCAGTCTCAATCACCGTCTCAGTGTACCTCATGGGTGGGGCCAGCATGGCATACCAGGGATCAAACCCTGGCCACTGTGCTCTGCCCACGCAGGCATTTTAGTCTGCTGAGCTATCAGGCCGGCCCTTGCCACCCCTCATTCTTAACCCACTTTTGTAACTGGTCATAAAACTACTCATTAGAAACCGCATTCAGATGCAGCATGGGAGGCCAACGTGTTCTGCCAGTCACCAGTGTCTTTACTCACACAGACACCACCTTTGTATGCCTGCCCCTTCCTAAATTTCAGCTGCTCTTTCCTCAGCAGCAGCCACCAGAGGTGGTAACATTCCAGCTTTCAGGAGATGCAGCCAGCTGGATGTCAAGGTCACTGGTCACAGTTCTCAGGACCTGGCCTGCTGTGTACACACACAGTCCTTAGTTGCTGGTGTCATTCATGGCCCTCTCTGCTAACTTGGACAGAAACTTGGTCATGGTGGCTGAGGCTGTCCACTGCAGATACCCAGACAGTGGGCGAGGGCAGGACAGGACCTCTGATCCACTGCTGCAAAGGGTGCGAGTCTCACAGGGAAGCCTGGAGTTAGAGGAGCTGAATGGCAGCCCTTAGAGGAGGCGATATGGTGTCCCAAAGGGAAGCTAACAAGGGAAGACCAGGACATGAAGAGGCACCAAATGAGAACTGGAGAGCAGCTCTCTTTGTATGGTTTGCATGGAGGGAAATGAACCACGGATTCTGAAACTATCCCATGCTCTTCTCCAACCCCACCCTGGCTCCCCAAGATCTGTTCCTACCTCCAGTAGTCACACTGCTGTACATGGACAAGCCCAGAGACAATAAGCACAGACGAGCTGAGACTGTACTGTCAATATTCGTTGGGCTCGTGACAGCCCAGACCTGTGGAAATGTAACTTGCAACATTTCAGTAAATTTGGACAACTTCTATCTCAGAATAATGGAAACCTATCTGTCATTTGTCACCAATCTCAAGGGAAGGGTACGACTCTTAGAGTATTTAGAAAGGGCTATTTCTCTTGTATGTTGGAGTATTAGATGATCTGTTCATCTTCCATTTGTCTGTTACTAAAGCATTCAACTCATGGCCCACTTGATGGCAGCCTCCCAGCTGTCAATCACTGCTGCACTGCTGTGGGTGTAAGAAGACATCTGCGCCTCTTCCACAGCTTCACAGGTGCACGCTACATACACGTGCTCTGATGTCATCCTGAACCTTACTAATACGCACAATTAGTACAAGCTAGTAAAAAAAAAAAAAAAATGACTGACCTGCTACAATTCTACATATGGTTAGATTTCTAAATTTCTGTGTAAAAATGTGTAAGTGTTCATTCCTGGTTTTTTAAATAATTTTTTTCTTCATATTCTATAAGGACTTAAAGTTCAACATATCAATACTTGATGGAAAATACGTATTCCATGTTATGCCTAAGATGTTTGATATTTAGACAGATAGGGTAAACCCAATGGCATACGTTGTAGGGTAATACTAAACTTTTCTGGAAGGTTAACAACCTAAGTTAGCAGATCAAAAATGGGAGAAAAGGAAGGGCTGCAAGGTCAGCCAACATTTTTGTCCTAGCCTTTCAAGGTCAGTGAAGACTCAGGACATAGGAAAACCTGTACTGTAACATCATGTAACTCGGTCATGCCCCAAATTTTCTGATCAAGGAGATTATGGAGACACAGAGGAATGCGATTGATGATGTAGAGTGTGCCTAAGGAGAGTCACCTGGAGAGAAAACATTCTCTCAGCCTTTCACAGAGAGCAAATTGGTCAAGCAAAGGCCGTGATTCATCCACATGGCTGACACTGACAAAGAATCTACAAACTGCAATACAGGGTTACAGGATAAATCCTGAGGGGACTTGACTGACCTTATCAGATACAAAAGTTACATTTCTTGTTATATAGGTCTTGCTTTATCTTGGTCTTAACCATGCAACAGAAAAGTATAAAAACGAGGTATATAAAGTTAAGCCATATTAATATGATGAGCTGTAAAAGGCTCAAGTCAATAATTTCTGAGGGTAACCCACTACTATTGTGGACTGCTGGACAATGTTGGATTGTTTTGCTGAATTCAAGCAAAATACCTATTGTATTTAGATGCCAACAGAATACCCACCTCTGACAGGACTAAACAAAAAAGGTGATATAAAGGAAGGACCATTTTGTACTTGTATATACAAAATAGTTAAGATAGATATACAGCTACTTTTGCTTAATTCAATGAGAAGAAAGAGATGTACTAATAGTGTTTGGACAGGATATCCTGTCTGCTTCTTATACTGTGGATAACCACTAAGAAGATAACAATGTACAATGTATTAATTATTGAAACTGTCCTATTAGTCAGCTTTGAAAAAAATGAATAATTCTAGCAAAAAAAAATATTATCACACACTCTAGATTGAGCTACCTCTGAAAAAGCTACATGACCACATGAGGCTTTTAGAGGACATCTAGACACAAACCACAACAGGGTTCTACATCACCAGAGCTAAGACCCCTAGGATGCTCCCCTAGGATTTCACTCCACAGTGGGAAGCAACCTAGGCTACCGCTACTGGGACCTACAACTGGAGCTTCTACAAACCATTACAGCCCTCCGACATTCTCCACGTCACGTTCAGACAGATAATGAGTAGAAGTCTGAGGTCACTATTTTTTAAGCACCTTTGCAAAACTAGCAAGGCCAATACCCAAGTACTCGACCCAAGAAAACTTAAATTTTCAAAAAGTAGTTAGAGAAAAGCCCATCTCAAACCAAGATGCTATTTTTGCTATTTTGCTAAAAATGCAAAACCCCCTGCTAGCATCAGTATTATACACTGTCTTGCCTGAGACAGCTCTTGTGATTACAGGAAGCCTATTTCTCTCGCTGCACAGAGGTTCTCCCATCTCACCCATCTGCCAGGAAAAGTCTACTTGGTTACCTCCTTCAGGTCCTGAACGACGGCCGTGAGCCTCTCGTTTTCCGCCTGGATGTTGGTGACCACAGCCCGGCTCTGCTTCAGCTCGTTCTGCATCTCCAAGATCTTGCCCAGGTAGTACGCCTCCTTCGACGCCGACTCCTGCAGGAGGGTTTCCTCCCGTGTCTCTCCATCCTCGGCAACCTTACGGTGGATGGAGAAGGACTGCCCGAACGCCTGCAAGGATGGGAAAGAAACAGTGCTCAGTGGCATGCACCTGGGTGCGCTTGGCAGACTTGGGAAAGTGGTTCCTTTGGTCTTATGTATTAAGAAAAGTCACTCTGAAAGAACTGCAGACAGAGGGTCGAGTGGGCGGGGCAGAAGGGTAAGGAGTGTGTGTGTGTGT